AACTGTGTCATATTTGTTTCCTGATTCTCACAGCAATGCGCATAAGGTTATTTCATTTTATTCTCACAATCACCTTTAAGGTAGGCTAGCATAAGAGATTGTGATTGGCTCAGGTTGACCCCGGGTAGCTCTGCAGGATTTTGAAGTCCATTTCCAGTATTCTGCCCATTGCACCAGTCCCAATGAAACATTACACAATTTCAGGAACTTGGAAGTTTTCCGCACATAGTTTTTTGTGGATTCTTTAAATGCCTCAAGCTTAAATAAATGCTTCCCAAAAATCAGCACTGTTTAGAAGTCCTTAGTTAATGAAAGAAAAATGGAATTCCATCAATGGAAGCTTTTTCCCGGATAAGGACCCATACAGTGGCCCAAATGCCAGTTTATATGCTAATTCTTATTTTTATCACTCAGTACCGTGCACTTATCATAAATGCACCATTTATGTAAATATTTTCAGTTTTGTTCCAGATTATGAATTCAAACAAGCAAAAGCTGTTATCTAAACCTTGAATGTATTTCATTTTTCTGTTATCCCTTTCTGCCAATTTCTTAGAAAGTATATATGTATTTCAATTCTTTTTCAAAAAGTGGTTTGTTTTCCTCCTTTGAAAGAGTAAAAAAGTAATTTTATATTGGATTAGCACAATCTCTCTCTGTCTTTGCCAGAACTTTCAAGAGGAGGAAATATTTATTGCTCGTTTTTGTCTCTCCAGGCTATCCTTCAGGTTCAGGCAGCTTTTTGAAAATGTATCTATTGGCCATTTGATTCCTACAAAATGGCCTGACTTCTCAATTTAAAGGTGGCTTGTAACCTGCATGTCTGAGTCATGGCAGAATGCTCAGCACTATATCAATAAGAGAAAAACACTGAATAGGAACACAGAGACTTATTTAAAACAAAATAAAAGGGGAAGTTGGCATTATTTGTTATAGGAAAGCAAAATCAAGTAGGTAGCTTATAAACTGCCATTATACATGAATGTGGAAAGGGTTTAAACTTTATGCATCTCTGTTTAAGTTAGTATGATACAGGTAAATGCAAATTTAGTCCAACTTGCATTTAAACTGGATTTCTCATGCAGTATAAGGACCAGCTGGGTCTACATATCACATTAGGCTCTTGGGGTGGAAACATAGCTCAGGGAACTCCAGAGCTGCTTATCTATGGTTCCCAAGCAGCCCATCATCCAGGAAGTTTGTAGGCTAGGCAGTTCGGCAGTAGAACCATCAGGGGTCTTGAGGCAGCTTGCGGAAATAGAAGTCCTGGCCCTTAGTGACAGTTTCATTACTAATGCAGGGCAACACGTCCCTGGGGGTTTCTTTCCTAGACTTATGATAAGAAGCATAAGGTAGCAAGCACACCAGTGAGCTGGGAAGAGGTGTTGACATCATGCTAACTCACCAGAGATGAGTTAATTGCTGTGCACTGCATTGCTATAATCTCTTGCAAAGTGTACTGGGGATAATTATCAGAAGTCAGGAAATAGATCTTTAAAATATATATGATGTCATCCATGCAACTATGCAACTAGATTAGCATAAAGTCTGACAAAAACCAAAGAATACTACTCTGGGATTAGTTGGCAGTTCCAGCCCCAGCTTTTGGAGGACTTATGAGCAAAGCAGTCTCAGTGGCTCCCACCCTCACCAAGCCTACCTTCTCATAGCCATAGTCACCAACAGGTGTCATTCCTCATCCTCTTTCTCACTGTTGCTACCACTTGCTTGTCTAGTAGGCAGAGGCCGCAGTGAGAGGCAGGCACACGACTGGGCCAACTCAGTAAAGAGGAGCTACAAGTCCAGAGTTCAGTTGTGGACTTGCTCAGTTGTGTGCCTTCCGCAGGTGCCCAGCGGGTTTATGCTTGATGCTGGCCCTCCTAGTTGCATGCTAGGAAATGAGGATAATTTGGCAGAAGGTTATGCAGTACCCACTTGCCTTGTTTTTTGAGACAGTACACAGTCCTTTCTCCAGCAAGATGTGCAAGGACAGAAAGCAGGGTGAGACTTGGAGAAATAATTTGTTTCATTTAGATTCACTAGGAACTGAACCAATGCACATATTTCTTCATAAATGTTGCAAAGAACTTGAGATAGGAAAAAAATTGGGAGAAAGCAAAACTGGCACATTGGATTATTTGGGCAACGGGCTTTCTTTGGGTGCTTAGTTTGTAAAAGGCTAGGTCTTGAAGTCAATTGAAGCCAAATTGTGGATATTACCTACTGGTCAGAGAAAGCAGAACTGTCAAAATGCAATGTACTCTTCAGGCAGAAGAAAATCATCTTCCTCTGGTGGTATTTCCTGCCTTGAACAGCTAAATACAGTGGGCAGTATCTAGTGATGCTAGCAGGACATATTGCTGGTGCAACAGGAGGCTGGCAGAAGTGCCACAATGGGACAGAAGCAAAATTTTGCAATGGGCCTTGCAGAAGGGACATGTCCCACTGTGGAAATAACAGTTTCTGCCTGTTTCCAGGATAGCTTTTGGAATCGCCAGTTCTTACTGTGTAGGCAGTGGGTCCTGCATGTATACCAGAAATGGCAAGAGTGCAGCTGAAACACTGGACACAGCCCAGTATTCTTCAAGGCTACTAGGTAACACCGCAATTTGACTTCATTCATTTTTTAACCTAAAAATAATATCAAGCTTGCCAAAGACTGTCATGTCTTGTTTTACTTCTGCTTTCTGCCTACCTATAAAACTTTGTTTTACCCAACACAAATGACAGACCTGAGCTACAGCTGGCATTTGTACTTTAAGAAATGGGATTGTGTATTGCTTCTTTGTCCCAGAATGCTGTGTGTAATCTGCTACCTGATGCACCTACTAGGGCCATTCAATTTCCAGTCTTCATCCTGATACTGAGTCTAAGGGACAGACTTAATGGCAGTACCCTATAACTGAATCTTTCTGCCTATTTGGCATCCCCTCTCCTACCTCCTGCTTCTTGTATCTTGGAGAACTCACACGCTTGCACTTTTTGTGGCCTTTTTCATTCTGAATAAAGGTATCATCCAACTTCTTTTAACACCCCTATCGACCGACAGACTAGCATGGCTATGCTTTGTTTTTGTTTTTAGGATGGGATCTGTTGCAACTTACTTCACTAATGCCTGTCAAATGTTACCATGGGTATTATGGGACTACTTTAGGAAACTGACGAGACTGTGATCAGCAGCTGGCGACCAAGTTTACTTCCACAAGAAATCTCTGCTGCCTTAGAATATTTGCTTTTTTCCTTTTGTAGACTTATGTATTCTTACAGTGTTGGAGTATTTCTCTAATAAGGACTGGTACCATGTTGACTCTCACTAATATAATATCTTTGTTGCTCTTTTCAAAAACAGAAATAATTTAAAAATCATCTGTCAAGGTAGTGGTTATATATAAACAGTCAATTATGTTTATAAGGTTCAAGGGAGATGATGGGAATTGTTGCCCTGAAGGCATACTTTGAAAGTGTGAAATTGCATGAGAAATACATTAATGGAATTACTAAGATTTCTATCCCAGTGTATATTAAAGGCAATTAGAAATGGTGGACTGGGGAAAAATGTTAAGTCTCACCATATCATTTAGTAAAGTTTTAATTTTCAACCAATAAAGGGTTCATACCCTTTGGGAAAGATCGTCTTCTTGTAGACTCAGTTGCTTCTGATGATACATTTTACTTATAGGAATGTGTCACTCCTATTTTAAAATACCACTTTCATTAAGAAAATTGAACCCTTTGAAGAATTTCATACTACTTCTACCTGTTGAATATAAAAAAAACACCTTATACTGACCCACTTCCAGGATTTTCAGCATTTCTGTTAAAACCTGCCTTCATCATAGGGGGGCTCATTTTCAACAAACAATGGATGTGAGGTAAAGTTGACTGAGTTCGGGCTCTTCTAGCACAGTCATGTTGAAGAAATAGCTATATTTTTCTGAGCAATGTGTGGTCCAAAGGATTAATTTCTGTCAATGTTAGCTGGAGGACAGGAGGTGGTAGGAGAGAAGGAGATTCCATTCCTGAAAGTGAAGGCACACTTTCAAGTTCTTTCCATTTTAAAGTTTCATGCAACCTGTCTGTTAAACACCATGATACAACTAGGCAAACTAACTGATGCCATCAATTATACCATTTTGGTATTATATTGTATGGAGTGTAATGTCTGACCTTCTGAAACAGTCAAGTACTTGTTTGTTCCAGTTATTGCTTATAATTTAGTGCTCATAAAAGTGAGCCAGACAAAGTTAAGCCTTCTTAAGTCACATCAATTTATATTTGAGAGAGTTCATTATATAGCAAAGTCTACCACTGAAACCAGTGCAGATGTTGAAATCCCACAGCTGGGGTATATTGTACCGTCTTTTTATTCATGAAATATTTTCTGGCCCTTAATTATGTACTGCAGAAAGAGTAGTCTATAGCCTATCCAGATTTGAAAAACTGCTTGTGCACTTTTTACTGAAAATATATTTGCTCACCATACATAGCCTGTACCATGGGTCCTCAGACTCGGCCCAGGGGCTGGATCCAGCCAGCCATGGCCATTTATCCGGCCCGCCTCAGAGGCTTTCAATGTGCCACGCTCGCCACGCATGCCCGCCACCGCCTGCCTCACCCCTCGCATGGGGGCTTGCTCACGAGGAGATCGTTTTGGACTCGTTTGGAGAAAACAATCTCCAAGTGAGCAAGCCGCTGCATCGCGGTGCATGCATCGCCTCCCCTCTCCACCTGTGCCCGCTGGTGCCTTGCCACCCCCGCATGCCCCACCCCCACCTCAGTGCCCGCACACCCTGGCCCCGCTCCTGCGCCGGCCCATGCACCCCGCCAGCAACACCATTCCGACCTGTGCCCAGCACCAGCACCTTTCGCCTGGCCCCCTGGGGGAAAAGTTTGAGGACCCTTGGTCCATATCATCTCACCAAGTACCTGACTTCTTATTCCAACAGTGGAAACATCTTCTTGCTTAATAGTCTAATGTTGTACCTGGGCATTCCCCACAGATGTGAATGAATGTGAAGCTGAACCCTGCAGGAATGGAGGCATTTGCACAGACCTTGTAGCTAACTATTCCTGTGAGTGTCCAGGCGAATTCATGGGAAGAAACTGCCAGTACAGTAAGTATAGTTTTACAATGTCTGAATTGAAAGTCCACATTTGGTATAGCAAATTAACTGTATTTATTTGTTTATTGCACTTATATGCCACACCCCTTAGCCAGAAGGCTCTCTGGGAGGCTTACATACTGCAACTTTAGAACACTAACTTAAAACAATTCATGTGAACATTAAGATAATTCACAGTCAACAGATAATAAACAATAAACACAATTGATTAATAATAAAGCCATTTAAAACAATCATTCCATAAGCTAGGATGCCACACCTACTAAGGATTCATAAGGCAGAAATTTATTTAAATGAAGCTAGTATACAATTGGCCAAGCTGATGCTGCATCCTCTAGCCAGAGCTTTGATCAATTCCTAGGCCATGAAATGCTTTGTTCAGAGCTGCCCTCATCCTAAGGCTGCCCCCATCTTGCAACTAAGCCACATGAGGGATCAAAGAATTCTTTCCATTCCATTCCTTATTGTTTTTCCTATGCATTTTGCCATGCAAAACATTCCTTGTGAATTCTGATTTAAATACACAGTGTTTAAAATAATCATTTCCAGAAATGGAACATGCACCATTTTCACAGCTTCTAGTCCTTTCAGTACAGTGGCAATTTTTGTCTCTACTACTTTGAACTCAAAATAAAAGGAAAGGAATACATATAAATAAATAAGTGTGGTCTGCTTTTGTGTGTGTGTGCTTTTACTGCTAAAATGTTGTGTTTGCTCAGTTTTTATGAGCCCCTTTACAGCAAAGTTATCAGAGCGACTGATAAGAAGCATAAAACCATTTAAAACGATTAATGATGCAGCGTTCAGAGGCTTCTGGGCACCAAATGGTCTTCACCTCCCCAGTCTTCACATTCTGCATTTATGCCAGATGGCCATTTTCATCTGCATAGCAGTGCTGTTTCACAGAGCAAGCCAAAAGGCTGACGCCGCTTCGGGCTGGCTCTTATCCTGGCCTTCCCACTTTCCTTTCCTCCCCACCTCCTGAAACAGCTCCCTCACCCTCTTTTGAAAGTTGCTTCCTGACCTCAGGGCACAGCTGGCATGGCTCTTTCTGTACTGGCTGCCAGACTGTGAGGGAGTGGGAGTGGAGCTCTCATTCCCAGCTCCATTGCTTCCTTGGAGGTGACTACCTGACTTGGAGTACTGACCTTGGAGCGAGAACTCTGAACCATCCTGTGGCCCCTCAGACAATGTGGAGGATTGTTTCCTAAAGCCTACATCCAATCCAACATCTAGAAATATGTATGTCAGAGTAGAATAGTTAAATCTTTCTTTGCATACATGTATACAGTGGTGTCCTTCCATGAGCAAAACAGATCCACTGCAAATTGAACGCCCTCTCTATGTTGTCCCTTCTCAAACAGATACACATATTTATGAGTTCTGCCTTCCAGAATAAACGGAGAGCATGCAGGGAGGAGGAGGAGAAAGTAAGTTCTTGTTGCCTGACCAAATTCCACTCGATTAATGGTGGATTAACCCCTACACACAGTGATTTCGGTGGATTAGCCAATATCCAGCTCTCTGCACAGTGTCTGTAATACACTGTGCAGATTGTTCACATGTTTCCTGGAAAACTTGTTTCATTACCATGCATTACTTAACCACTCTTAATTCTTAGGCTATGTTATGGTGCATAAATGATATGGTGGATAGGGATTTAATGTCAGCACTGCCTACAAAACATTGAAATACCTCCATTTAGAGAGCCAGCTATATCTCCCTTAAGCACTTTGGCACAATTTGCTTGAATTTTAGCATTCATTTGTGAGCTATAAACATAAACTCATGGTAGTACAGTCCATATTAAAATGCTGGCTCCTAGTCGTATTACAACATTATTCTTGTGAACTATAGCACTAAACTAAAAGGGCACCTGCTTTCTTTCACAAGAGTTTACCATGTCATAACACCTAATTATGTCGTTACACATTGCAATTACAAATCCTAATTGCATCATTGCACATATTTACAATAATTATGTAACTAAAAGCTGTCACACTAATTATGTAAATCTATGATTACTGATTATACCTACTGCCGGTTAAACCAAGATTTTCTCGGTACTGTCTCAGAATCCTTAACATACTGGTACAGATCATGGGAAAAGATGTTTTAAAAAATTGCAGACATCCAATTCAGTTCTTGGTCCTAGACACATTTTTGTTGTGCTGTTTGTTTGCTTATCTCTTTTTTCTTTGAAGTTAACTTCAATTCAAGTTATTCTCGAATTTCCCAGGAGGGTCTTTTCAAAGCATGATAATAGTTCATTCTCCAAAAAGCTTATAAATATATAGAACTATTCAGTCATATACATAAAAACTGTACATGATTATGGAGACAATATGGAGACAAGAAATTGCCTTCGTGTGTTGCTAATCCATTTAAGTTGATGGTGATGAATTTGCGCATCCCTGGCCTCTTAAGTTTTGCAAATAGCAACCATGGGTTGTGGCAAGTAGGCATGTAGCATCATAACTTTGTGGATGGGGGTGTGAACTAATCTATGTCTGAACATCATTTCTCATTGTCAATCTGCTCTCATGAAGCTGCTTTTTGCCACTGAAGTTAAAGCATATATGTACCCCAATTTTCACTGGAGAAATTGTATGGAGGAGAAGAGTTAGACTCTCCTTCCATCAGTGCCAGGCCCTGATCTGGAATAACTTCACATACCCATGCACAGCTACCCTTTGCAGATTTCAGAGCTGGGTAAAGATCCATGCATTCTCCATCCTCATCTAATGTGGTTCTTTGATGGCACCACTGCAGATGTGTCCTCTCCTCCAGTACAGCATTCCCATGCTATCAGTCAGGGGCATGTGGCTCTGGGGTGCATAACTACAAGCCTGAAGGCCAAGTTTGCCCACCTGAGGTCACAACTGGCTGTTTTCCAGCCCCAGAACCTTTCTCACAACTACTGAGCAGTGGCCCAGCTTTTGTGCAGCATTTCCCCTATTCCTTCCTAAGGTTTGGTTACCAGCAATAAGAGAGTTAAACTCAAATGTGCTGATATTTTTTGTTTTTTAGACCCATCCCTTTGGCTTTTGGCCCTGGTCCTTTTGCTTTTGGCTCCAAATGCCACTGGAATTCTCTCCCTCCACCACCACCACCCAAAAAAAGAAAAGCCTTCTCTAGAACAGAATTTGACCTTCAGGCTCAGAGGGTTTGGCACTCCTGTTTAAATGTACAGCCTCCTTTATTCATAAGTGGACAGGCTCTGTAATAAAATCTTTTAATATGACATACAAAAGCCAAAGAATCATTTAATAGAAATGTTTCTTCCTCAGAAAGCTGTTGTTTTATATTGTTTTGTTTTTAAAAGCCTTAATGAAATTGAAGGCAAAAGTTTTGTGGCTTCAAGATGGTATGTTGTTGTTGTTAGTTGTGAAGACGTGTCCGACCCATCGTGACCCCATGAACAACATTCCTCCAGGCCTTCCTGTCCTCCATCATCCCAACGCTGTTTAAGTGAGCAAGCAGTCTCTGTCTGTGCACCAGTAGGAGGCTGTAGAATACTGTGGAATTAAAGAGGGTTGTATACTTTCAAGTAGTCTAAGGAATTCTTTTTTGAATAATGACAAGTATGAAACTGGCATGTTAGATGGTTCTAGTTCTCAGGCACTAAAAAGTTATGCTAGTTATTGATGTCTGTTTAATACTAGAGCAAAACATTCAGAAGTGGGATGGCACAGCTACTTTCTAAAAGGGGACTGTCCATTCTACCAGCTCATTCTCAGCTCATTCTGTTGGAGCTATAGCCCATAAGACCCTAAACCAGGGGTCTCAAACTCAACTTACCTGGGGGCCGCTGGAAGTAGAGTCTGGGTGAGGCTGGGCCGCATCAAGTATTCCACCACCACGGTGGTGGTGGGCCGCTCATCCGGAGGCCGGCCCGGGCGCCACCGGCGCTTTGAAGGCCGCAGGGCCCCTCCCCCGTGCCCCACCCATCCCGGCAATTGGCCCACGAGTTTGAGACCCCTGCTAAACTATTGGTTTTGTATTTCAGTAAGAATAATAGCTTTGGATTATAGAGGTAAAAATATTTAGAGCATTTAGTGGGTCTCATTCAGGAGGATTTAAGCTAATACTATAACTCCCAAAGCATTCTGCCAACATTCAGTGAGGTTCTTGACTGTTCCAACACAATCTGTTTCTGCTGTCTTTATTCTGACAAAATATTGGGAAACCATCTTATGCATTTGAGTATTCCTGCAGTAATGCCAGTTTCATAATGGACTCAAAGACAAGGGCTTTCTTTTCCCCAAAACATCATCCCATATAGCCCATTGCATTCAGCTGAACTTGCTCCCAGTCAGCTGGGTACAGGACTTTGCAAATAAAGTCACATATGACATTTTCAAAAACTAAATTGAAAATATGTTTGTTCACAGCATTTCTAAAAGCCGGGATGGTGAGTGCTAATTGTAGTTCCTCAGGAGGCACATTCCATGGTTTAGAAATAATTCAGGAGAAAGTCCTTTCATGTGTAGTGGTCCCATGGGCCTCTGTGGGCAGCGGTGTCCTTGAAAGACCCTTTTCTGTGAGTAACCAGACAGTTTCCTTTGATAGCCAGGTCTTAAACCATTTCAAGCTTTAAAGGTGCCTGGAAAGGAATTGGCAACCAAAACAAATATTCAAGAAGTATGGTCCCAATACCAGCATTTCACACCAGTTCAGGCTTCCAGATCCTCTTCAGGGGTAGCCGTCTAGAGCACATTGCACTAGTTGGAACTAAGCACAGGGGACCAAAGGTTGAGATGGAGCTGGGGACATTTACTGCAATGAGATGCCAGGGTTGCTTTCTAGAAAGGGAGTTGTAGGCTTATGGCTGAAATAGTACCAGGCAGGATGGTAACCTCCATGCAAAGGGCCTGACTCGCCATTAATAAGTGCAGAAAAGAGTAGTGCAGTGCACTGAAGAGTCCCACGGCCTGTGGCATTTGGGGCTGGGGCTGGGTTGAATATCCCCACCATCAGTTGGCCTCCAT